AAACAGCAATGTGACATAAGATCTTAACGTAAAAACACATCAAAACTTAAAAAACAACCGATTTCTTAAAAATTTTAGAATAAGTATCGAAATTTTGTGTTAAGGTTTGATTTCTCATTTAACTTCAATATTTCATCACAGTTTAATCAATTTTTTAAAGCCAATGAACTATCCAAGGTGATAACTTTGAAATTATTTTTCCAATACAATTGATAACACTCGTTACCTTTGGTCATCATTATATTCCAATTATATCTATTTTTCTATTGCATTCCTTTAAAACTTTAGATGCTATCTTATAGGAATAATGGATATTTCGAGAGAAAATGCTTATTAAGTCGCAGTTATTTAAGTACCTATGCGTAAAACGATGTTATCTGATCAGTGGCTGCCTTCAACTTCACGCACTCCTCCAAAAATTCCCCAAAACCCAGTAATCATTGATTTTGTAATGTTGTAATGATTCAATGAGTGCGGCATTTATTGATTCGCATTTTTCGAGTACAATAACATTGTGAAAATGATCAAAACAAATAAGAATACCGCATTTTTGTTGTTATTGAACTGAACAGTTGCACGTTGGACTGTTTTGCAATAAACAAGCAAAGGTACGCAGACAATAAATTGCGCGGCAAATAATCAAAAAAATGATTAACTTAAATATTATTTATAAACTTTTACGTTGTTTTCAAATAATACTTCATTTATAGACATTGTTTTCACTGCGCACGAATTGTCATGAAAATGCGTACTTGTAGTTCCATTGCACAACACAACCGTCGACGAGTTGCGTAGGAAATAAATAAGATCATAACAGTGTTAAACACCGCAAATTCCGTACAGCCTAGCTTATATTATAATCTGAGGTTTTACGCTATGGTAATTCCTCCTTCTTATCAACCTAATGATATTGTTGACACCGGAAAACACGACAAAATAAACGAATTATTTTAAATAAAATAAAATAAAAGCTTCCTGCTTGATAATATGATATCTAGCCATATATTGTATGTTATTGTTGAATATACAGTAGAATCTTGATAACTCGAATGTCAAGGGAAACCAAAAAATTCGAGATAGCAAGTGTTCGACTTAACAAAATTTCGAGATATGAAGAGTTAACTCATCAAATTTCGACATAAAAGGCACAATTTCATAGAACATTTATTACGACAAATTACATTAGGTAACATAAAATGAAAGTCAAGTACATAATTATAATGAATGAACTTACACTGTATGTTTTAAATAATTGATAAAAATCTGTTATCTTCGTTTGATTCAAGCCATTTACAGATTTTTATCAATTATTTTTCTAGTTCATATAGTGAACCGAATATATGATACTCGATATCATTACATCTTTCAATGTAAGTTCGTAGTGTATCAATTGCTGTATTGTACTCATGTTGTTGCTTGTTAACAGCCAAACAAATACATATGTACTGACTGAGCCAAGTAACCAAAAGTGACCAAAAATGAAGAAACATAACATCTGTGTTTCTTAGAAATTAGAAAGTTTATTGAATGAATTCATTCCTTGCACGTGTGCAAAACAAAAACAATAGATAAGAGGCCCCGAGCCCCGAACATTCCTTTTTGATTTTATTGCCACGAGTTTTAAGCTCCGGGAATCCCGAGTAAGAAATCATAAAATTTTATGAACTTCGACTTACTGAGGTAGTATTTGCAGTTCGAGTTACTGAGTATTAAAATGTACGAGTAATGCCTCACAGGGAAATAACTTATTGTTCGAGTTACTGAGTCTAAAAAATTCGAGTTAGTGCGTCGTTCGGGGTTCAGCGGAAGGGAATAGCATATCTTTTCGAGTTACTGAGGATTACGACTTAACAAGGTTCGAGTTATCAAGATTCTACTGTAATTTAATAAGCAGATTAGTCGAGGCGAGGCTTAAAGTAATAATTATTGCTGATCCGTTTTTAATCAATTTAATTGTAGTTTCGTTGTTTGTTTGTCATTAACTTCCGATGAATTTTTGTTTTTTGTTTCCACATTGCACGAGCGATGATTGTACTTACCATCGACTTGAAACGTCATTGAATTTGTAATGAATCACGCATTTTAGTACATATTTGTTTAGATTACTATGTGCTCTACGTTTTGTTATTGCTGCACGTTTTTTCCGCGTTCTGTGTTAATTTTCTAAAGCCATTAATGTTGGGTATTCACCGTTTACGTGCTGGTTTCTTGTTTTTAAAAATACATATTTGAAATTCACATGAATTATTAATAATAAATATGTAATAACCGTGTTATTTATTATTGTTATATTGATTTATTAGTTTTTCTTTAAATTTTGCTTTATATTCGCAATTTATTAACTTTTGTGCTGGTTTGAAATTGAACTCAATCAGTCTCTCCATTGATTTGCATAAATTACGTTTAATGTTGTGAATATCGTTCATTAACTGCGCCCATCTTGTGGTTTTCTGCGGGAGACGACGAGTCCTTGAACTTAGTGCACTTGAAGCATAATTAGCTCGCCCGGTTCTTGCGAGATTCGGATTTCCTCAATGTCAAACTGATTAAACCGATCGGGACGAAAGTCGGTTGATTAACGAAGTCGCCAAATGGGACACTTGATACCCGAAACGGTGTTTTGAAAGCGAGAAAAAAACCCACTGCGAAAAACCCAATTAACACATTCGTAGAAACGGACATGGATTATGGTAATTAGTTAACATGAAAATACAAAACGGTAATACAAATACTATATGACGTTGTGAATGCAAAAATTCATTCTTAAAAATAAACATTAATTCATTCAATAACCGTTGGGAATAAAATTAACTGCATTGATGAGTCAATTGATGCAATTGTTGGAATTATTTACTTTTGGCCCGCAGCATTAAATCATGGAAATTTATTTTTAGGAAAAATACCAGCATCCATAACGCTCGGTTATAATCAACTATAATTGCTTTATTGTGAGCGTTTTTTTCTCGATTTACACGCAATATTGTAGTATTTTCAATTGGGACAGGAAAATTTTTCAATTTTGTAACAAATGACACTTGTAGCTTAAAATAAACTGCTGCTGAGTCATACAATCAGTACAATACATTTAACAAATTGGAAGTTGACTAGGTTTGCATAATTACAGATGTTTATTACGGTATTATCGGTGACGGCGTGATGTTTGTTCTAGTGCATATTATTTTCATCAATTTCGAATAATTTTTATTGAAATCAGTGACGATGATGTTTGGTTACTCGCATATCTACTAGAAATCAAAACAAATCGGCAATTGTTTTTCACATTCGATATTTACGTTTGTCGATCGGCTTTACGTACGTAATGAGGTTTAATGTTAATGTCTTCTACATGTGTGTGCGTACGAACTGATTGAAGGCTGTTCAAACACCGCGGTCGTACGTAAATCACATGCATAAATCCTTGTTAAATACGTACCTTGCCTGTGTTAACGTATTTTAAATATGTTGTAATATTGCAACAAAAATATTTATACGTTTCTATTCATAAAAATACAGTAGAAATGTTTTTATTAAATTTTAACGGTCAGAGAATGATAAAGAAGATTTCTATAACAGTTATCGATAAAGTAGGGAGTTCACATGACAAGCGCTGTCACACATAACCTTATTTAAGAGTTTTATTAGAAAATAATAATAAAATTAACGGTTTTAATAATTATTAAATTATTTTTATGCCTAACTGAGATATATTTTTACCGTTTGGCATGCTGAGATCCCGCTCTAAAAGCTAAACTGTTTAAAAAACGGTTAAGAATAGGAAAAAACGGTTAAAATCAACCGTCGCGCCGCTAATGCGTTTAAAATAAACTTGAACGGAATGGAACAATCATGGACTTGTCATCGTCTACAAATGTTCGTCACCTTTCTGCTAATCTTCATTCATTCTGTTTGCAATATCTACATATAGATAACTGCAGCATTTACACAGTTTGTGAAATACTGTAACCAATCACGCCCCACACCTCTGCTTGTACCGCATGAATGGTTTTTACTCATTTTTTTATTTGCATATTTGAGAATAGAAATAATTTAAAAATAGGTCTAGATATATCGGTTGGTTAATAGACGAAACACCAGACGATATAAAATTAGTCATTTTTGTTAATAAAAGTTTCCAAAGTGACCCTGTACAAAACTGAAGAGTTTGGGGCCCTCCTCGTTGGCTAGAGCAACGTTTTCAGTTTTGCCTCTATACGCGATTCAATAGTCGTCACATGCAGCTAGAAGGTCTTTCATCCATTTAGGGCGTTTGGCCCCGAGCTGTTCTTTCTCTTGCGTGAGGGAAGCGGCAACAAACGAGTCCGCCAAATGTCTGGCAGGGCTGCACATCTGACAGCACATTAGAACAAACCCCGAATGCGATCGGGTGTGATGTGAAGCACACGTTTTGAACCACGTCTACAGAACGCGAAACGCGCACGGTTGTGGCTGGCGAGCAGTAGTAGCTACCACGCAACCGTCGTGCCGCCTGACGCCAAAACGCGTGTCTCGACCCCCGCCGCCTTTCCCGTGTGGCTATATAAAGGCGGAAAGCGACGCGTTCGCTATTTAGACACGGTGCGGACTGTCTGGTGAGAGGTTTAGTCACACTATTCGCTCTCCGCTGCTCGCCCGATATATAATACAGCCAAATCAACCAAAGTTCCAAAAGTGCATAAACTCTAGTCATTACTAAACAAAAAAAAACAAAACTGTGCGATTAACCGTGCTCAAGTTGTGAGCTAAAACTAAAACTAAAAAACAAACTGTGATTGTGTCCCCGAAACGGATTACAACTTGTACTCAACAATTCGCTTGGATTACAAAAATAAATAATTCTCACGGTCTGAACTCGTGTACCTCGAGTTTGGATCCCTATAATTTTTGAGATATTAGTACCGAAAAGGCCTAAAAATTGCTATCTTCGGTTTCACGTCGCGCGGCCCCTCAAGCAAAATGGTGGGCAGCAACGGCACGATGATTGCCATTCGTCTTGTTCGCAGCAAGCTGCGGAAGCGTGAGGAGCACAGCAACAGCGTGCATCCAACGGACGTTGTTCTGCATCAGACGACAACGCCGCCTCCGCAGCCGCAACAACCTCCACAAGCCACTCAACAGACAACGATACAAAATAATCTTCTTAGTGTAGTCGCCAACGGCCATTCCGCCGACCAGCCGCCAGCAAGCAATCAGAACAACGGCGATTCGGTCGCCTTCCGAGCGCCGTACGCCCTTTGGCAGTACCCACCTCAACCGCAGCCTCTGTACAACAATACACAGGTAGGCTGCGTGAAACAAATCGACAAAAAAACTATCACAGAACCAGACGTGAAACTTTGAAACACTTTTCATTCGTTGGACGTTTGCAATGTTTGTAATCGTGTTAGGTCCCTGGAATCCCAACGATGAACCACAGGAGGAATATTTTCTTTTTAGGAATGCCATCATGAAGCCATGCTGTTTTGCACGAATCATTTTCGAGTTTTAACGGTCGCATAACGGGTGCGAGCGTTAAAATATGGCCGCTGCCAGCAATGAAACCGTTTTTTAGTAGCACTAGGTCACAATATGCAACCAACGACGGAACGGTTCTCGCCGCTTATCGAAATTCGAACGTGTTGTGTGCTCGCGTGTGTGTTCATTATAGTGCGGCGCAAATTATATGAAAAAATCGCGCAAGGTTCATTTCGACATTTTCGCCGTCGAAATTTGAAAGTCGTAACAATGGCACCGACAAAAAACGTTGAAAGTTGGCGAAATGACGAATTGAAACCGCTCGCTTTCACCATTCGCTGGGTTTTTAACCGTTTTAACGTTTCTTTTTTTTTTTCATTTCGCATGCCGACGAATAATTAACGTGATAAAATTTCCTTTCCATACAATTCACACCGACAATAATTGAACGGTCTTCGCGTCACTCTATAACCATTTCGATTTGATGTTGTTTTGTGTTATGTTTTGAATGAATAATAAAGATATTTAAAAAGTAAACTTCATGCATGATTCATCATGTGCTGTCTCTGTTTAATTAATCGTTTCTTTCCAGATACCATTAGCCTCCGCAGAGGCTCAAATCCTTGGAGTCTAATGTAGGAAATTAATAATTAGCGAGCCAGTTCCGAGGCGAACTTAATTGCATCTAACATTTAACATGTTGCTAGTTAGACTTGTTTTAAATGTTGTAATTTTTAAATTAGCTAGCGGGCCATGCAACCGATGATTGAGGAAGTTGATTTCAATGATTTCCAACGCTTTTATCTGCAAATTTTGTGTTTAACATTAGGTATAGCCACAAAGGACATTGAACGCTGCTGATATTTCTATCCAAATCAAGGTTTCCACTTCTTCACAAACCAAAACATCAAATTTTTCATATTAAATTGATAACACTCCAACAAATCAAGTTTTTATTCCAGTCTAAAGTTGAAGTTTCAAAGTTTCATCGTTTGCACGTTGATTTTCGCTCGAATAGTTAAACTTACGTTTGGAATATTTTGTTTGCTTCAGGACGTGAACGTACAGAACCTGTCATCTGAGCGCCCAGGCCTTGTGCGCGGCTTCCGAAAAAACCTTGGAGGCCGCTGGCGTCGCCTGGTGAAGAAGAAGCCCGAAACTGAGGCATACACGATACCCGCCGAGCTGCGACCGCAGCTCAAGCAGATCTACGTCTATTAAGACTGTGTCTGCTATCCTGGGATTATACATACATGCAACAGCTTCCGGCGTTCAAGATTCCAGAACATCCGGAAGACGGCGTGCGACGCCATGTTGTTTGTTTGTTGATTCAGCGCGTGCACCGGCTGCACGCCTCGTTTTACCTTCCTTAATGAGACTGATTATTATCAAAAAATGGATTACATTTGAAATTGTACATGCGACTAGGCCTAGTTTTTAATTAACATGCCGCTGACAGGATACCCATGAGGGTATTCTTTGTCTGCGGAGTATTATGCAACAAGTATAGTTTGTACATAGTTTAAACCAAACTTAGTGAGCTTACGTTGTACAGTGCGATGATGATTTCGAGAGTTAAAGCTACTTGACGGGCAATTTTCGCACACAACTTTTTAGAAAACAACTAAATACGAATGATAATGTGATGAGTTGTTTTATTTTAAGTTAACTTAATATTTAACGAATGGACGAAAGGGTGACGCTTGATTTGTAAAGAAATGTTTCTTTTCATTGGAGAATCAAGCATAGCGATAAACTACAGAAGTTGAATGGGTCTGAATGATGCATGTAGCATAAATTAAATTAATTTTCAACATGTTTTGGATGACTGCAAACACCTTGAAGAGATGCGACAAGAGTTACAGATATTTTTGTAATGAAATGATTTGAGAAAATGAGAAATGATTATTAAAGAAAAAGATTACATTAATGTTTGTTTTATTCCAAGCTCATGTCTTTAACTAGAGTAAAAACCAAATTAACATCGTTTTTATTGCTAAAATGCTTTAGCACACAATAAGCGGCTTTAATTTTAACAATTTGGCGAAAATTAAACGAATCTCTTGGAGGTGGGACAAAAGTGCAGCCATACAACTCTCCAGACAGCATTTTATTTGCATTACAGTGTAAGATAAGTTATGAACTTCTTGCATCCCAAGTTTTAAAATCAAATTTGTTCAGAGAACAAATGTACCTGCTATTATTTATCAAATAGCTACGATAAGAGCTAGTCAGTTGTAGTTGTAATTGATTCCATTTTATATGTACATAATTAAAAACTTATAGTTTGCAAAGTGAATGCTGAAAATTATAAACTTACGCAATTGATAGTAGTTTTTAAGATAATCATTAACGTTACCTATAAGTTTTGTCTAATTCTAACAATATGTACATATTTGTATATGTGATTTGTATCATAGCACATATTATACAATGTATAAACGAAATCGATTGATAATGCTACTACATCGGATGGTATTGATTTTAATATAATTATAAACATTTGAAGAGTAGATTAGTTTGTGTTTGCATATTGTTTATTTGATTTAATTTAGATATCTTGGATTTCTTCATGGTATGAGCCTCATCAATAAGTAAGTTTTAAAGTATTACCTTAATTCTTAGAAGTATGGGAACATCTTATGAAGAAGCTCGGGGTTATCTGTAGCTTTTTGAGTTGTTTATTCATATTTTTTTAGTAATAATCACTGTCATAATTTGAAGGTCTGTTTATTGGGTTGCATCTAATAAATGTTGGATTTTAATTTAGATTTTATTGAATCAAATTGCAACGATAATGTGAATTTGAATATTAATGGCAGGGTTTACTTACTGGGTTTCTGTATTAGTTTCTTTAGAATTTAGTTTGTTTAAAATTATTTAAAGTTTGTTGGTTTCAATCACCATGGCGCCATCTTCCGGTTATTTGGTTAACTATATGAGCATGATGTGTGATGTTCTTAGGTTATATTCAGTCGGTGTCTGAATGTGTGCATGTTAAGAAGTTAACAATTAATCGATTTTAAGAGTGTTAAAAGTAATGGTAATTGCAGTGAATTGCACTAATAGATTACTTCTGAATCTTTACAGAAGTTCCCGCACCCGAAGGTTTATAATGACAACTCCACTGGCAAAAGCAGCTGAGAAAGCAGTTGAAGAGCTGGAAAAGAATCCATACTATGATAAATATGCAGCAAAAATAGCCCAACTTCAAAAAACTTCACCTGAGGAGTTCCTTGCTCGTGTCGAGCAGAAGAAAAACAAAGTGCAAAGCCTGCAGAGCCTAAGGAGAAGGAAAGACAATTCACTTCATTGTTGAAACCAAAGGAGAATATACAAACTGGAGTTGGAGCACAGCAGGTACCTTTAGATAAGTATATGAAGGTTGAAACTGTTAAGGACATGACAGCTGATGAGATCAAGGAAATTTGGTTGAAATATCATATTCAGAAAGAAGTCATTGCTGCAACAATTCCTGCTGCTGAATATGATAAAATGGTGGAACAAGCAAATAAAATTCCTTTATTTCTACTACCTTTGCCTAGGTCGCAAGGATATGAGTTTATTGTATTGCAACACCACTTTAATACCGTCCATTTTACGCCGTTAATTTGTTATCAGGTAATAATTTTTGTTTGTAATGAAAAGTATAATAGGTTTACATGCAATATTAATAATTGCATTTTAGGTACATAAAGAAAACGCTCCTGAATGTTTAACGGTAACGAATTACACCGAATTCAAAGACGACAAAGGAATAGTGTTAATGAGAGGCGAATTTGATAAAAATACAATTGATGCCAAGGAAGCGCAATGTTTAGCCAATCAATTGCAATTGTATTATAATCAAAGAGATCCAGAAAAGTTAAAACTTATGGAGACTTTCACATTCACACCTGAGGCATTCAAACATCAAGATTTAATCAAACAGATTGAAACATTGAGTTTGTGAGTGTGAAATGGATAATTGTATATACTAGAGAGTTTAAGGATGTTGAACAAAATAAAATTGAAGTTGTCAATGCATTAGAATAGTTATGCCATGAAATGAAAACGCAATAACCACTCTCTCGTTAAAACTATTGTTCATTTCATTATAATTTTATTATTTGGTCGTATTGTAAATGATTTTATCACATTTTTTGCCAATATGAAGTTAGATTTCTTTAGTCCACAACTATGCATCAACCTCTTGAAGCTTAGGTGAGCATAAGAAGTAAAAGAAGCAATTTAAGGAAGAAACCGTACGAAGAACCAGCTAGTCTTTTTTATAAACAGTTTAAATTATATAATTTGTGAGTTAAATTAAGATAAGATACGTTCATCTTCCAAAAATAGTCCACGTGGACAACTGATAAGAAATGACTCCCACTTTCGTAAAGCAAATAATATTTTGCATTTTCATGTTTAAAATTATTCACTTTTAAGTTCATTTGTGTGAACGTAAGTAGTATAATTGAAACATTTGCCGCAAAAACAATGACCGGTCGGGAGTTTCCCAAAGTTTACTTGAAATTTGAGGGGCGCCTGCTTATCAACGGCAAAAAGCGACAATACTGGATTCAGGATGCCACTGAGGACATGTTTGACGAACTAGAGGATCTTAGTGTTAATAAATTTATCGGCGATGAACCAACTACAAGATACATGAGTACGTATTAATTTAGTTTTATTGTAATGATGTATATTTTACCAGTTATACATTAATTGTAGAAATGTATGACGATCCCATAAGTCTTGAAGAAATTCGCGTGATATGGCGAAAGTTTATCGATTTAAAACTCACTCTGGTCTGCTTAACGAAAGACGATGAGAATAAAACAAAAATTGTCGCTTTCAACGTGTTATATTTGAGCAATGCCGATGATAAAACTAACTACGACGTAAAGCCGTTATTAAAACACAAGTTGTAATGTTTAATAGTAATTAATTATATTTTAGTTACGCGGAGAAACTTCACAACGCTTGTTTAGAATGTTTAAATGGCTGGAAAACCAACGTAATTTTTTCGAAGAGTTCAACATTCAATGCGTAATGAAATCAAGGGGTTTATATGTGCTGGAAGATTATCGACGTGAGGCTCTTGGGGAACGATTGTTGGAGGCTCGTGAATATATGTGTAGACATTTAGGGATTACCGCAACTCTGACAACATTTACCTCGTTTGTTTCGCAAAAATTAGCAGCTCGCCTTGGTTTTCAGGACTTTTATTCTGTTGAGTATGAAGAGTTAGGTAGGATTGATCCGGGAATGTATATTCTTTTTTTAAGAATAAAAATGTAAATAAATAATAAATTAATCTAAATTGGCAAGGATTTTTTAAATTATGAAAGAATATTAAAAGAATAAAAAAATAATAAAAACAATAATGATATTAAGAGGTAGTTTGTTTAAACATGAAGGAGTGGAATATTAGTAAACGCAAAAGTACATAAAACCGATAACGAACGCGCCCGAATTACAAAATGCCCAAATAAATCGAATATGTAAATTCGGAAAGACAAGCAGAAAAGAACAATTAGTAGGAACAGAAAATTCAAAATTATTAGAGACAATGCAAAAACTTTGTAGCAATGTTCAAACCTGTTCCCCATTCCTGGGAAAGCATGACAACTCCTGACATCTGTGCGGACCGGGGAATGTCACCCAGAAAACAGCAGGAATTTTAAGCATAAGGAGAAATAATAGAAAGAGAACAGTTATTTTTAATATACATGCCTGCGATGGGAAACAGGAACGGTTTCCCCAAGAAGTCGGTTGATAATCCGATCGGAATGCAGCATCAACAACGTCGCACACAAGAAACAGAAAAATAAAACAGAATTAAAATGTAACAAATACTAAAGAATAACTAAATGATAAATGCAACGCTTTAGTAACAAAAATAAGAGTGCAAGTTATCAGCAGTGCCGAATTGTGTTGGAATGTTAAAATCAAAACAACAACATGGCCTCTCTTTGTTAGCAGTGTTGTAAAATTGGCACTCTAATGCCGCAAAAAGTGAACGTTTGAAACATGTGAAAAGCAGACAACAACTGATAAGGCCGCTGCGCACACCCGCGAAGTTGAAACTGCGGTCACCGCATTGCTCAGTTTCTGACTCGCAATTATTAAACTACATTCTAACTGGAATAGACACATTGCAGACATTATGTTTTATGGGATGATGCAACTTGGTGGTTGCGAACGAAAACGACGTTTGAATTGCGGCCATATTGCAAAAACGAAGTGTCTAACGCCGCATAAATCAATGCAGCGTGCAAATCTTTACGAATTACAGATTTAATAAAAATGCGCAAATGAAAATAATGCTAGAAACTTACTTGTGAGTGCCTCTGGAGGAATGTTTTTCTACCCTGGTAGCAACACTTTTTACTCATTTGGCTAAATTATTGACAATTCGATATTTGAAGTGCGGAGGTACCGCGGCACAAATGTCGCGCACCGAATGATGCCGCTGGAGCGCACGTTGCGGAAGAACGTTAACTTGTTTCCCTGCGCCGCTTTCGCGCCGACTTGCGCACAAAAAGTTTGGCGTTGAGGTGATGTTGATAAACCTGAAAACAAAAACATGCAAACAACGCACGTATTCTATATTACCTTAAAATCGCATATTGCATGGCATGATTGCATTCGAAGATCACTTGAATGTTAAAAGATAGTGTGAGTTGTTATTTTATGGCGCGACTTCCGACGTCTCCACCCCGCAGCCCTCGAAGTGCGGCATAAGACGATCGGGTAGTATCAGTGCGATAGAACGCCTGAAAACAAAATAAATAAATGAAATTGAATGTTTATTTTGATTTTACTTGAAATATTAAACATAAATACTTGTTACCTTAATTGTAGTATTAAATAATTATTTAATTTATAATATTCTTAGAAATTATTGTCGCAACTATCCGAAAATATTTAAAAACTTTTGAAAATAAAATTTTGACACCTCAGAACTTTGTAGTACCAAAGTACCCTTGCAAAGAACAAAACTAAACATTTGAGTTGTATCCACCTACCACGTTCCGGAAACCGTGTTTAAAAAGTGCTAAAAAATAGACATTTTAATTTTCTCTTATTTTAATAATATCTAAAAACTGATTGAATTTCCATTTTCAAATTTTCTGCGGAAATGCTTCTTGACCGATCTTTCCGCAAAAGAAGTAAAAGATATTCATCTCTAGTTGCAGAAAAAACCGTAAAAATCGAAAAATAGATACTATGAACCATGAAAATTTCACCATACCAGTATACACGAACAGTGTACCAAATGCGAGTAGATACTGAAATAAAGAAGAAACAAAACATTAGTTATACAAATTTCGGACAATGTTGAATGAATTGAGTTCCGGAGGAACCCAACTTTGCCTTAAAAATTGTCTTATTTGCCATAATTATTTAAATAATAATATTTACCAGGTAGAACAGCCGCCCCTCGTGTTCTGCTGAAGACAAAAATGGTTCGCACAACTCCAAAATATTGTTTACAATCACACAACATGGCCGACTGGCGACCGACGGCAAGCGATCCTAAATACACGCGAAACTGCAATATACACACAAAACATTGAATTCCGAAGATTACACACGTGTCTATTAACACTAAATTCCAGCAAATATAACGCGATATAACGAATTTACAACACGAAGCACGAAAGTAAGAGTTGCGTGCCGGCTACACAACAACTGGACACGTCGAGTTTCACTCGCAGGAATATTTTTAGCAAAAATATGCATTATTGCGCCATCTGAGGTTACTTTTGGGTACCTCAAGATAATACAAAGTGCATCAAAAAGTGTGGCGTGCATATGAGGCAGTGAGGGATTGGCTATGTGTCAGTGAGTGGTCACGCACTTAAATGGCAGTGTCCGTGTGTCACACGTACACGCAACTGCGCATGCACCACCCTATCTAAACGAATAGCAATTTTTATACATAACTCAAAGCTTCGAATGTAGATGTCACTAGAATGTATTAATTTAAAATTAATTAACTAAATTATGCAATTTTAATGCAGATATTCATTAATTTAGCAATAAATAAACCTAATACATTGCATAGTCAGTGATATCCACCGCTACATTCATACGGTGCCCTGAATCAAGTCACTTCTACCGCTAACAAATACAACCCGACGGAGAATTTAATTCCGCATCTTTCAAGCGTTTGCTCGTAAAACTATCGTTAATTCAAATAGAATGACTATTATTTTTGCGATGTATCAAATTAAGTGATAACTTACCACTTTAATACAAATTACCTTAAACATGTTTATTTCTACGCCATACATCTATATAAAAACCATATAAAATCGCCTGATGTTTGTATAGCTCACTCATTTTCATAAATATTATTTCGTTATCGATTATTCAATAAACATTATTCATATACATAGCGTCCATCATTGGGAGTCATAATATGGAAACCAAATCATACTTCTATATCATTGCAATAAATCAAAACTTAAATTTAAAAATAATGTAAATATAAATACTCAATTGGCTTGCATCAAAATTATTCCACTAAATCTACAATAATATAAATAGCAATTCTTCTTTTCATACATTCTAAAGAAGCTTAACTATCGTTTGTGTTAAATTTCGTACAGGAATGACAATTCAAAATCAGCCTTAAATACCATTATCATACTCGTAAATAATTCTCCTCAGTGTCAACATAATAAAGCGTTTCATTATCGTTTGTTTTACGCACCGCAAATAAAATTGGCACCGTGAATAATTCATGCCAAGTTTTGTTCTTGCTTGTAAACCGCATGGAATGCGTTTCGAATGAGGGCATAGGGAAAACAAGATTCCAGCAAATCCATAGTAAGGAATGGTGATTCCTGCACAATTTGATCTAAAAGAAGATAAACAGACTCGCGATTTCTGATCGCTTCTCGGTCAACTTCTTGCCCTAATCGTAAAAGACTTGAGGATGCCAATGCTAAAAATTCTTTCATCCGATCTTCGATGTCGCCTTGATTGCAAATCGTGAATAATGCACCAAATATATTATTAATCGCAAGTGCCATGCAATGAATGTTATTCGAGTGCCCTTCGAGTGAAGCTCGATAGAATGAATTTTCCGCTCTGGCAAGTCGTGGAATCGACACGGCAACGAAGACCATCAATAAGCACACGAGAGAGTGATCCTCGCCCTCAGCATCGGGTTTCTGTTGAAGCTTCAAAGCGTTCACGAGAATGGGATCGACTTTACATGGCAGACCAGCAGCAGAAGTCATCTCGCTGACGACCTTCATGGGATCCCCGCTCGGCAGATGATGGCGAAAGTCCAAAATGGAACTTAACAGAAACGGAATCCGTTCTTCAAGTACATCAGTCAATGCAGACTGAGCAAGCTGTCGAAAGCTTAAAATCACTCCAATGATCGTCATGCGTTGCAAAACGTTGTCGACGTTTTTCAAATTCTTGAAACTCTCCTTCATAACGTCTGGCTTATCGAAATTGGTTCGCAAGGTACTCAAAACGTCTTTATTCAACTCTGCAAGCTTCTTTAATTCCAAAACCTGACTCGCAGTATGCCACATAAGAGTTTCACTTAGTTGGCGTAAACCATACGGTCCAATCAACTCAGATAATGCACGCAATTCGTTAATGTCTGAAAACTCTTCGGCATTGAACGGAAACGCGCCGTCGGCAGTTAAACTAACAAACGCACGTTGATTCATCGAGAAACAAATATTGCCAGCGCTAACTCGTCGTAATAAAACCTCGCTGTACCACTGCGTGTATAAGGCAGCAATCGTTTTCTCCCCGTGCGAATCTAAAGTTTGGGTTTGCTGTAGAAGGCAATTGTTAAAAACTCGTGTGATATCAATGTGTACATAATTTTCCACAGTTTGCAGAACATTCATGTAGGAACGAACGCAAGCAAGGAGTTCGCTAGGTTTTGCAATTTCGTTTGTATCTTGTTTATACATTACCATGCCAACGAGCGCCTGCGAGAAGCGATTTTCCAGATGCTGATAGAGATACTCCCTTGGTGCAAACGTGTATTCCCACACGTTAATGGTCGAGCAATAATTAATCGCGTAGCAAAGCTCAGTGAGAGCCATGTGCAACTTATCCATGGTCGTTAAATTCTCTCGGGTCTTTCGATAACTTTCACCGCCGGGTTTTTCAATTTCGATGACTATCTTCTTATTTTTTTCCTTCTTCTTGCGAGTCATTTGTGAGAGTAATACGGCACAATTCTTCGGCAGAAGACGATCGCTCATCTTGCACTGTTCGTCGCAAATGGCAGTAATGATATTCTTCGCTTCCTTTGCCATTTCCTCCAGGAAGACGTTCACAACACTGAGGCTACGTTCGCGAATATGGTGGCGCTCCTCAGGGCACAACTCGTGAGTGCAATTCTGAAAGTGACTGCAAATTAAAGGAAATGCAGTGATGAAGCGGTTCTGTGCAGGAAACTCTAAACACATGTGGAACTGCTCTTCAAAATTGCGACTGTAGAAACAAAAGAGAGATAAATCGGAAGTTTCGGTAGTAATGGCATCCAGATGATCAACCATCCTCGTGTGAAACTGTACTCCGTCCAAGAAGCGGACAATTTCTATATTGTCCATAAGTTTCATCTGCGCACCGGTTGAAGAAATAAAAGCTTGCAGGCGAAACCAGTCCAGACGGAACGGGAAAAAATCAAATATTTCATTATCCTCGACTTGTTTCAAAGATACATTGGCGATGGTGTTACACAGCGATGATAAAATCGTGTGTTCTTCTTCTCCGGCCGCTTTCATGTTCTGCATTAGTTGGTGCAACATCGGAGCATCGTAGCCGTATAAATATTGCACATAATATCTGAAATTAAGTACATGTACAACATAACAAAAACAAATGTAATAATACAATAATCGAACCTTTGCATGACCTGACTGTACTTCCTAACCAATGCCCGTAACTCTTCCATGTGAAACAACAACTCCGGCAGTTGACGATCGATCAAGTCCTCCGTCGATTTCCCCTTTCCTTTTTGGTGAGGCGGGCTGTCGTGATGACTGAGAAGCCATAACACTTCATCTCTTGCATAACTCAACGCCATGAAGACCACCAACGCTTTTGGCCCTAATAAGCCTGGTTGGTCCGTCAGAATCAAACCAAGTTCTTTTAATGCGGTCCGTAAATATTTTCTTCTCTCGCGATGCTTGTATCCGGCCTTCTGGAAAGCGGAACTTTGACAATCTTTCAATTCAGGCCAGACGTTTGCTCATTCCCTTCACGCCTTCCAAATATTGTTGAATATATGGATGTATGTAAATCACTTCATCACGAAATAAGGGAATTACCCAAAGACTTTCCAACGCGCCGACCCACATGTCATGATAATTCTTTTCTTGAATATTCTGAGGCAAAAGCGCGAGGCCAAAAATAATCCATTTGTGCATTACTTCCATGCTTAGATATTCACATGAAATGTGATCTGAAAATGTTGGCTTGAGAAGGTCCTTGGCATTTGCCACCAGACTGAGTTTAGAATCATTGCGCAATTTATCAGCTGGCACATTTCTATTCATGTAGTACATGTGTAAAGATTCCAATGCACTTCTCAAGATATCAGCATATGGAACAAATTCTTCAGACAACTTCTTAAATGGGTTTTCATACTCCATTACCATACTACCCAATCTAGGAAAACTTTTATCTGGCTCTCCATTCATCATCTCATGGGCAGCATTGAATAAACCTAACACTGCCTTCCTATCTTCAACTTTAGACAAAAGTATCATTAGGGACACATATGTCACTACCATATCCAAGTAATTCTTAGTGAGTTCATAGTTCAAAGTAATATCCAGCTTAACTTTAACACTGGCAATAGTGATCAATAACTCTGTCACTTTGTCCTTGAAATCCAATAAGTCCACAAAAGTGTGATAATACAGTGACAAGGACTTAATAACTTCAGCCTTAATAGATTGCAGTGGTGATAAACTCTTCACATCAATTAGTGGAAACTTCTTAGTGATAGCCTTAATGGATGATTCCAGATTTTTGTCTGATAAAAAACTTGGCTTGGACTTGGCATCACCACAGGCTTTCTTGATGTTGTATATACGAGTCAGCATGCCAAATCCCCTATCATTTAGGATAAGCAGCTTCTCAGCAAGTTTTAAATCAGCAAGATTATTAGGCCTCATTGTGTTCCTACAAACATGCATTTACGTAAACTGAACAATGTATAAAATATTAACAAAATATTTTCAAGACTTACAAGTGGAGAAATTGTTCTAATGGCAATTTATGCGATAATTCCGCTTTTGTAACGATGTTTAGGCGTAGTTTGAGGTTATTTCCATAATCTCAGGAAAACTGTATTCTGATTCATTGTTTTAGTTTCAATCGCCATAAAAAGACACACGCACTTGCCGTTTAAAATTAGTCGGTTTCCGACGCAGTTAATTAGTATTTAACATTGTTTATTGATGAAACAGGATACGTTTGTTACTGACGTTTCTGTCTATGCATAGGCGGTGCCTTGTTGCAAACACGATCACAACATGGAGGCGATATACCAACTGTTTCATAAAATTACAAAAAAAAGTGTGTGTCAGCTGCGATACACGAGTGAAATTTTCACCTTTTGAATGATTATATCATACACAGAGGAATCTATGGGAGTTAAATCAAATAGATTTTCATACCCCGGGCTTACATATGAAAATCGGATCTAAAGGAGTAAACTCCAAAATCAATACAGAAGCAATTCATTACGAGTTTATATATGTGCAAATAACGTTGTTCCAAAATCATACAACAGCGAAAATGTATCAGCCTTTTGTTGTTGGACTTTCCAACTCGATATTATAAAACAAAATCAAAATCAGAATATATTTGCTCTATAATATTTGAACGATTTGAACTACTAATTTGAAACATCAGCTTCATTGTTACTTGCCAACTGTCGTCTACAGTCAATGTTGGGGAGAGTTGTCATACACTTCAAAGTTTACTAACACTGTTTAGTACTGTTCATAACAATTGTTTCTACTGTTAGTACTGAAATGCATCAACCATTGTAACTAACTTAGAAGTAGTAAACATGACAACAATAAGACATAAAATTCAAGAGGAAATCTTCCAGCCAAGTGAGGAAAAAATTATATCTATGTGCCATGTGGGCAAATACTTAAAGAAAAAGAAGACATCATTCCTCTGTGTGGTGAGCACTATCAGCAAACCAATTAATATTACTATAGTTCAGGTAAAACAGTCTGACAAGTACTTTAAACGAAAGCGAACATGGGCATTAGAAGAGTTAAAAACAGTTGATGGAAAAAGTGAAGCAGCAGACGTAGCTGATTTTGACTTGTACATGGATAAAGTTTATCACTGGGTGGCTTCCACTTTACAGGAGAGACAGAATTTTATCATTACATTGTACAGGCAATCAAATAAATACCTACTGCAGGAGAAGCCAATGTTTCGAAATGTACCAAAATCATGGACTGTAGAAGAGGATTTAACACCTGAAAGTATTAAATTTGCAACATCTCCTCTAATGGGTTTAGATAATGATTTATCCGAGGATTTTCAAGCAATTACTGATAAAGAACAGGAAGATTTATCTAAGTAAATATCACCATGTATAATAAAGCTCATATCATAGAAATTGTTCTGGTTTTTAGATTAATGACAGATTGTGAGTTTGCAATAAGTAATGCAGAAGGTTTCATGGAAGTTTTAGCCAGAGATCTGTCATTACTGGATGGGGAAAATGTGCAATGTGTATTGGCATCTGAGGCTCAAGTAGAGTCACTAATGCAGCAACTGGAGCTTGCAATAAGTGAGGCTGAAAAGATAGAGAACCGCTTGGATAGTTATGATGAGATTCTTAGGCACATCAGAGATACTATGAAAAACATGGAGAAAAAAAACATGATGATAGAGGTAGCTGATAGGAATAATTCAAGATTATTGCAGGAACTTGAAAAAATAGTGGTAAGATTTATTTGTTGTCCAATTTTGTTAGGAAATTTATTAATAATATTTATATTTATGTTATATTTATATAGACTCAACTAAATTTGCCTCAGAAATATGAAGATGCTATTGATGATGCCGATTTGACATCTTCACAGGGTTTACGAATTGCAGTTGAAGCAGGAAATGCACTGCGAAAAGCAATGAATTCGCAGCTTGATCCAGCATTGGATCGTCTTGCAGCAGTCCAGGAACAACACAAAAAGTTTGACAAACTTAAAGAAAAATTTTCGCGCACAATTAATCGCCAATTAAATAACTTGTTTATACATTATGGCAACCACAAGGGTGAGGGTGAACGCACCACTGATGGGCTTATTCTTCCGCAACATAGCGCTGTTCACAAAGAGTTGAACATGTACACGGAACTAATGCATTGGACCAAGGTGATGGATAATTCAGCTTATCAACAACTGCGCAAAGTTTACACGGATTCACTGGGAAAATTGTACGAGCGCGATTTGAAGCTTCTATTTGAAGTTGCAAAGGAAAAAATTGCTGTTTCCGGACCAGTTACTACCCCCACGAGGAACACAACACTCTTGGGTTTAGACCGTGAACAATGGTCATCCGAAATTGAACCCAAAGATCGCCATCGATATGATTCCACTTTGGAACAAGTTTTATCTTTGTTGGAACCTGTTTGTTTGCAGGAGCAACAGTTTTGTGTCAGTTTCTTCCAATTGGATGTTCTTAACAATAGTTACAAGAACCCACTCACTGCACCGTATGGTACCGATGAACAACAGCTTGTTGTAGATAAGAAGGCCGAGAAACAAATTAATGAAGACGTTCGAAATATGATGGGATCTTTGTTCTCATGTTTAGAGGAGGAACTTGTTAGTCTCATTGGACATATTGAGAAACAAGATGCTTTGTAAGAATGTATAACTTTATGAAAGAGGGTCATTATCATTTTGTTTCCAGTTATTGCATGTATGTCCTGGTAAGACTTAATCAGCACGTCATGTCAGCGCAAAGTTCGTTTTTAAGCAACACGTTTGCATCAGTTCTGATTCAAATTAAACGATCGTTGGATAGGTTCATGCATACGCAAATTCAGTCGATACAGGAGTGTAAAATGCGGAGCAAGTCTAAAGGAATTCTGCCATATGTTGTCAATTTGGAAGAATTTGCTCGTAATGCGGATGTGTTGTTGAAAAGCGAACGGCGAGCTGATCTGGAGAAGTGGTACACTCGTTTAGTGGATCAAATGATTGATTGCATAGCGACTCAGGCAAATGAGAGTTCTAAAGCTCCCTCACAAGTTATTAAAATGGGTACGAGTTATAAAATAATATTTTATAAGGGATGGATGATTGATTAAATTAATCTGTTTAGAAAATTATCATCATTTGCATTCGTTGCTCTCACAATTGAAGATTTCCGTATTGGATTCGCAACGAAAAGATGCGAAACAACGCTACAATGATGCGCTCGCAGCATATGTCACGCAATATTTTGGGAGACCTTTAGAAAAATTAAATGTAAATGAATTATTTTTAGCCAATTTGATGCTTTACACTAAAATTATTCTTTTATAGACATTTTTTGATGGTGTTCAAGCAAGAGTAGCAAGTGGTGTCAAAGCCTTTGAAGTCAGTTATCAACTTGCTTTTAGCAAACAGGAACTCCGTAAAGTAATCGCACAATATCCAGGAAGTACTGTATGTATATTCATGTGTCATATTTCAAAACAGTGACTTATGTATTTTTATGCTTTTGCACAGGTAAAGAGAGGCCTGGAATCATTATATAAAAAGGTTGAAAAACATCTCAGTGATGATAGCAACCTATTGCAAGTTGTTTGGCGAGCAATGCAGGAAGAATTTATTCAACAATATAAAACTCTCGAGGATTTAATACAGCAATGTTATCCAGGTTCAATGATAACTCTTGAGTTTACCATCAATGATATTTTGAATTTTTTCTCTGACATTGCAAGATCACATTAACTTAATAGCCAGAATCAAAAATTATTAATATAAATAAGTACATGAAGATGAACCTCTTTGAGATAATGCCTTTAATTTGTAAAATTTGTAGCTTCTGTTGAATATGTACCTTAAGTTATATATTAAAAATATATACTTACACAAGTTCAACACTTAATAAATTAGATTCACATTTTTAACAGTAAGTACCATTTTAATGTATTTATTATTTATAACAAATAGTTAAGGTATGGTTTGAACAATTTGCAGGTTATCTTGCATTTTGAATTAAGCGTTATTGTTTGCTGGATGATTTTGATTTTTTTCTAGGACTCTCATCACTGCCTGATTGAGAACTGGATGAACTCCTTCTCTTCCTAGTTTTTTCTTCATCATTGTCACTGACATCATCATTATTACTGTCACTGCTTGATTCAGCTACATTTTCACCCAGTATCTCTTCAATCTTGGTCAAATTTTTCTTAATGCGGTTAGCATCTGGACTATAAGACCAAACAATCATTTCGAGATGGGCCTTGGTTGGCAGATTATCATCCCATAAGTCTAAATTTTCATCATTATACTTTTTCATAATATTTTTAAGGTGTGTATTTCTGATAATGTCCCAGGTAATTTCTTTTTCGGTACTTTCTACGGTTCGCAAATGTTTATATTCACCGTTAACTTTTTCGTACGCTTTAAAGAACTTTTTTGAATTTTCAGATTGTACGTTGTGTTTGTCCGCCAATGGTCGAAAAAGTTTCATTGTTGTTAACGGCAAATAGGGTCGATTCTCTTTAGCCATATTTGAGTTCTCGTAGTTTTTTAACCAGTCATCAAATGTTTTAATTGCTTCATTTATATTCTGTAGTTTGTCCTTATCTTTGGTTACTATAAAATATACAATGTAGAAAAGGTTAAACAATACTTAACAAATTTGCAGTAATTCCATACAAGTAAGAACACGTTTGGCTCGTCCAATAAGTCCTTTGATGGCCAATTTTTGATAATCAGGGTCTCTACCTTTTAGAATACTAATTGTTTCACATGCCTTTTCTTTATCTTTAAATCCTAGACCGGCAACCGCATCAGGCTTATTGTCAGACATTGTTTTTCTACGTAAGCAAACAATTAAAATTACTCAGTTTTAATTTTAGAGAATTCTTCTATTATATTTGCCTTTTAAACGTAGTAAATATTCTCAATATTCAATATTTTATTAGATCTGATATGATCCAAGGCGCACTCTCAACTATGAGCAGACGCCTAAGCAGAAGTTAGTTGTCCCAAGTGAAAAGTGCGAGTATACGTTTTGATTATTATACAATGTGCTTCATCCTCTGTGGATATATTCACACTTTAGAGAGACTTTAGAGAACTAAACAATTCACGAGTAGATTGATTCAAATAGACTGTATATCGCGCATTGCTTCATGTAAACTATGCAAATGACTAAGCGGCTAAAAATAATCTGAAATTCACGTGTAATATGTTAGCATTGAGCGATTAAAATTCTCGTATATTGCGGAATTCGCTGCTTGATTTGACCCACAAACTTCGTTGACACAATGATCTAAAATCAGAAATTACCTCATCTTTAAAATCTTTCGTTTCATTATAGGATATTCTTGAACTTACTTCAACTGTTTTTATACATGTTTAATTTTTAATATTTTATTATTTACATCATGTCTGGAATCACATATAATGTTGTAAAACACCTTACACTTTTTAATCATTTGACTACGAAAGTAGCTATTGCTCAAGGTTCGCATGAACCGCCATATAACAATAGTTTCACTCATAAGAGATCTGACAACTCACACACAGTATAATTAAAGAGCAAACATTCATTCGATGAATATAAAATAATGTTTAAATATGAAGTATACAAATAAATGCGCAAATAAATAATCGTTGCATCATATCTCTAAACAAGTTTTAGCCACACATCAATAATTAATTACACAAGACGTTAAATTCAAAACTGGAAATAAATAATGGATTAGTAATTGCATCTACTTTCTTTGAACTACGGTCGTCTCTCAATATAAAATCAATCCGTTAGATCTGTATTTCGGCGTTTCAGATTTAAGAGTTAATATTTGGTCATGTCTTTGATTATTGAAGGTAGCACAGGTGTCACTAGAGTTAACATGACTTCAAGGTAATATCGCCCTCCACCCAGCGACAGACCGACAATCATAATTCAGTCGTTTCCATTTTTCGCGGTGGCAGAATGGGCGGCAAAGTTTGATAAACGTTTTGGGCACGTATCAATGTGGGATCTGAACTGTCGCCTGATGATAGAATATTTTCATCCAGGGAATCACGTTCGGAATTTTGACTACACAATGAAATGTTTATATTTAATGAAATCATTAGCAAATAAAAATTATCAAATACCTCATGTCGTCCGAATTTTTGTACCATTCGTTTTCGTATGCTTTGAGCCACATTGGATTGCTGCCTTCCATGCTGTGTTTGTTTGTATTTGGTACGCGTCCACCTAAGCCACTCAAACCGCGACCATCAATTTCGCTATCTGTAAATACACAAACACCTATATTAAATTACCATACCCAGCTTAAATTACCTCAAACGACCTCACGTATTTAAAATATTCATACCGTATGCTGTAGCAGTGGCAGCTTTTAATTTTCGTTGATATGTGTGTCGTTGATTAACGCACAAAGCTAAACAAAGGAGTAGCAGCAGGAATAAAAATAATGAACTGGCTGTCAACCAAAAGGTCGTCCCAGCTTTTTGAACAACACTCAATGCAAGTGTGCCCCCAGGCTGTGTATCTAACACATTAAACTCTTTAAACAGTGCGTCTAGGCGCTCGGTATTTTGATCCACAAGACGCAACACTTCGGCTACTTCCAAAATAGAATGATCCTTACGATTGACCAAGTGTAGATATAAATCTGTACGTGTTTTATCTACAGTTCCATCATGATTAGCGTGAGCGCGGAATTCATCCACGTTTACAATTGCTCCAGTTACGTTACCCAAAATCCTATAAAAAATCAATCAATATTTTTAAATATGCGTTGTATTTAAAGAAAGAATAACGTACTCTCTAAATATTTCAATCCGGTTTCGTAGCTCGACAGGTTGTTGCCTTAAAATAAATCGGACTCGCTGATCTTCACGTAATAAATAAATAAATACTCGCGCCATGTCTTGAAGGCCGCCCGTGTCATTTGCTAATACCTAGAAGAATGTATTAATTAATAATTTATCTTGCATTAGCACCTGAACATACCATAAAATCAAAATATCCTTTCATCCCTTGCTGTGGATCAAAGTTGAGCTGCACAGATCCTGTGTCCTTTTCGACAATAAATGGAGCACGTTGCAAGTTTTCTAAACCTTCCGTCAAAGTCATTTGGATTTTTCCAACCAAATAATACGATATTTCTGCATTTTCTGCATAATCCGGATCCACGGCTCTCACGTGCATAAATTTAGTTCCAAAACTTGTAACAGTACTGACTCCCCCCGTAAAAACCCGATGTACAAATTTAGGAGCATTATCATTCACATCTTTGACTTTTATTATCAGTTTTAATAAAGTATCATCTGAGGTGTCAAAGAAACTTTGATTATTTGGTGGGGAAAGGCAATCTTCAGTAGCTTTGATCCACAGTAGATGTTCATCCTGAGTTTCTCGATCAAGAGGATTGGTAACAGTGAGTTCATGGGTTAAAGCATTCAACTGAAAGAAGTCTCCATCATTTCCACCAACGATAAAATAACAAATTGGTGCGATAGGTCCATCAAATTCCAATTCGTCGCGATCAACTGTTTCAGGTAGCCGGCGTCTCTCGTAACCTGCACTTTTGTTTTCTGAAATAATTCAAAATAAATACCCATATAGTAAAAAAGAAGGAAAAGTAATTACCAGTAAAATTAACCAAATATTCATCAATCATAAACTGTGGTTGATAATCGTTAATGTTGCTCACGTAGACAGTTAAATCCAGGTCTGAACTTAATGCAGTCGGCACACCTAAATCATATGCTTCAATTCGAATCTAAAATTAATTTAAAATGTCATTAGTACTTTTATTAGTAATAATAAAATAAAATCAAGTTACATCGTATATTTTTTGCTTTGATCGATCCAGTGGAAGTCGCAACTCCAAAATACCAGACACAGGTTGCAAGTTAAATGTTTTCCAGTGTCCTGCGGGATCTGATTTCAATCTGTAACGAACTGCTCCATTGGATCCAACATCTTCGTCTTTAGCTACAATTTGAACTAGAGCACTGCCAACGGTTGCGTTCTGCGTTAAAATAATTTAAATTAAATTGTTGCTTTTATTGTTTTTTAAACCCACATACCTCTGGTACTTTCAAAGTGGAATTATGTGGAGGGCTTAAAAATTCAGGTGCATGATCATTGAAATCAGTTACACAAATCGGAAGAGTCCCTTTTGTAGTGAATTTGGGTCGTCCTAAATCTTGAGCTCTCAAAATCAGTGAATAATTTCCATGTTTGCCTTGTAACGTAGATAAAGTTTTTACTTCTGCTGAAAATTCATTAATTTGATCCAAAACAAACAAATTCTGATCGTTTCCCCCTGCGATATCCAATATAATTTGGCCATTTTCAGTTTCAGGATCATCTGCATCCTGAGCTTGAATAGTAGTTATAACTTGCCCGGGTTCATGAAACTCTGTTATAGAAATACAAGTGGTTGGTAAGTTCAATTGTGGTTCATTATCGTTTACATCCAAAATCGTGACACTGAAATATCAGAATGATAACAAACAAAGTTTTTGAGTAAATATGTTGTCTTACTTTATATGTTTGAATGCGTTTCGACTTTCTCCATTGTTGTAACCATATTGGTAATTATCCCAAGCTTCTACCACTAATAGATAATTTTGTTTTGTCTCGCGATCTAATAGATCAGCTACTTTCAATACACCTGTATCTGCATCAAGAGAGAATTTGCCTTGAGATGAAATCCTATCTAACAAGTATGTTATTTTGCCGTATTCTCCACTGTCGGAGTCTTTTGCTTCTAAAATAGCAATCCTCTGCCCAATGTATGCATCTTCCGCGACAACTAATACTTTAGGTTCCGGTAGAAAAAAAGGATTGTTGTCATTTTCATCCAGAATTTGGATAAATAATTCAACCCGACTAGAACGTGGTGGTATATCTGAATCCGTTGCTTTAACAGTAAGATTCAGCCAGTCATACATTTCGTGGTCAATTTTATTTGCAACGAGTAGATCTCCGGTGTCTTTGTCTAAGTATACCAAAGAAGCAACCTCTGGGCGGCCTTCCAAGGTGTAGATTAGAGTTTTGTTTTTGTCGGCATCATCGGCGATTACGCTGCCAATTGCAATACCATTTTTGCTGTTTTCGGTAACTGAAAATCGATAGAATGGTTTTCTGAACTTTGGATTGTTATCGTTAACATCCTCCACTTTAATTACTAGTTGTGCTAAAATAGAGTTAAAAGACATCATATACATTAATATTAATAATTAATATTAATATTGTTGCAATTTACTTATATCTATTTGTGGTTCATCTGTTTCGGCGGCAATATCTTCGACAATAAAAGTTAGAACAATACTTTCCATCATTTCCCTATCAATCAATTTGGCCACCTTCAGAATTCCAGTTTCACCGTCTAAATCAAACCATGTTTCACAATCAAAATCTGGTCTCTTTAGTAATATGCCACGTTCATTCTTGGCTTGACAAGATGTGGCGTCAATTTTGTACATCAATTTTGCGCTAGAATCCATATCGTTGGCTCTTACTCGAGTTATAACGGTTCCCACGGATACATTCTCAATAATTGCGACTGTACCCGGATCAATAAAACTAGGTGCTTTATTGTTAACATCAAGAATGTTTATGTTAACAGTTACATTCGCATTTTTCTGATTTTCTCCTGTCGCACCATCAATTGCAATAACGTGAAGCGAGTAAAGTGTGGTACGAGGTTGAGTTGTGTCTGGATCTAGTGTAGCTCCACGTGCAATTGAAATGACGCCATTTTCAGGCCCAATTGTAAATTTATCCGATGCGCCGCTTTGAATTCGGTATACCACGTGACTATTTGGTACGGATCCATCTGCATCTTGTGCTCTCACCTGAACGACAACAAAGTTTAACAATAGGTAAAAAATAAATAAATAAAAAACCTGAAATATTGACGTGCCTCCCGGAATATTTTCTGGTATGGTTAAATTATATACTTCTCGGTCAAACACTGGGGAGTGATCATTAGCATCCAAAAGATATATAGTTAATGGTACTTCTGTGAACAAGACTGGATCACCACGATCTGCACCCCTCACAGTTAAATGTAGTATTCTTACACTTTCACTGTTGGGTCCTTTGAAACTTTCGAAATCCAATGGATGAGTCGGTTTTATTTTACCCGTATGAGAATCAATCGAAAAATTTAAGTAATTTTCAATTAGGGAATATTCAATTTCGCTATTTTCAGTACCGGCTAAGTCGGCATCTCTTGCTTCTACACGTAACGGTAGTTCAAACTCGAGTTCGTTTTCCATTAATCGTGCCTCGTATTTATTTTGAACAAAAATTGGAGGATTATCATTCACATCTTCGATGTTAATAATTAATTGCACTGTGTTTCTATTTCCCGTGCCCAAATCATCCCTTGCCTCAACTGTCAAATAATGCCTTCCAACTTGTTCCCTGTCCCAGGTAGAACCTCCGGCATTTTTGACAGTTATTATCCCAGTCACCAGATGTAGACTAAGTAAATCTGCAATACCACCAGCTAAATTTGTGTATCGCACACCTGCAGTTCCGTAGTTTCCTGAATCATCATCCAAGGCTTGTACCCAAGCGACTGTCGTTCCTTCTTTGCAATTTTCTGGAACCCATACTTCGTAGAAAGGTTTTGAAAACTCTGGGTAATTGTCATTTCGATCAAGAACGTTTATTATAACTGGCACTTCGCTTTTCTTTGATTGAACTTTTACTATTTCTCTAGCCACTAATGTTAGATTAAAGGTTTTATTGTTTTCGTAGTCTAAAGCGGAAGAGTTTTTTATACGAATAAGAAAATTGGCTTCGTTGATTACTTTCGATGGCGTCACCTCAAAAATCTCATTGTGATCGCGAATTAAAAGCTGAAATGTGCCATTCACACCTTGATCATAATCAAACACTTCATTAATTGAATTTCCAAGAAATGTTAAGGGTGTATTAACGGGACTATTTTCCGGAATCTCGCACAAATACCTATTACTTCGAAATCGAGGTTTTTCATCGTTGATATCGGTTATCATTACAGTGACTTCCGTCACTGAGTGTGGCGGTGGTCGTATTTTACTTCCAACTTCTGTGGCCTAAAGAATAATTTGAAAAAAATTATTTTTTCCCATGGAAGTGACCATTAAAGGTAAAGTAATCATACGTACAGTTATTTGTAAAATGTATGATCCCGAAGCAGATGATTCTCTATCAAGAGAACTGGTCGTGAACACAATGCCTGTATGTCTTTCAATACGGAACAAATCGCTTTCTTTATCGATGCCGTTTGATACCAAGCTGTACGATATGGGATTATTAACTTCGCGGTCGCCATCAACAGCACACCAAATACGAGTTTGTCGCCATCCGGATCCACGCCTCGAAGTTTGTATATCAAAGTTCCTATACATAAAAATAATATTTGGGATGATCTTTAATACTGCAAGTACTAATATTGCGCCTACCAATTGGCGTTTCAGAACCTTCTTTCAGTCTTAATACAATCTCCGTCTGATCATCGATTAGAAATCGCGGAGCACGATTAGCCGCAACCCCGCGGATTTGGCAAAAATCAATAAGAAATGTGGCATGCGCTAAAAGGCGCCATTTGAAACGCACTTTAACTTTTGTTGTGTTGCAAGAATGGTCCATTGATGTGCTTTTCAACTGGTTACCTCATTCCGTTCTCTTTTGTAGATTGCCGTACTTTCCCCTACAAAATAAAGAGACAATAGGTATACTAGTTGCCAAACAAACATTTTTAAACCCTTTTAATTCCCATTCGTTGCGATCGTAACTAAATTTATGAGCAATTCCATAGAAAAAGTGTTTGCGATGAGATGGAAATTTTATGTGGTTCAAGGTTTCCGACTGCAATACAATTGAATTTTGTTAATTTTTATGATTACGTGAGAGCAATTTAATTATTCTATCTTACGTAAGAATTAACCATTTAATACATAGTATAATGCCAGTGAAAAACATTGTCATTTGTTGATGCACTTTAAACTTTTATAAAAATTGCATACACTGTGTTATTATAAACAATTTAAATCGACAGAATTTAAAAGGAAAATATGTATTTTATTGTAAACTAGCTGTTGCCCGCGACTTCGTTCCGGCAGTGTTTAATAAAAATGTAATTCGTTTTTACTCTCTTGTTCTAGACATACTCGTAGTAAGAGTCAATTCTATCAATAAGATTAGCAATTTTAATTTAAAGAAATTATGCATATAAAGTTTTGTCAATAACGCACTTCAGCGCGCCATCTCGAATTCAACTATAACTATGATTGAATCTCAATGTCAAATTTTATTCTATAGCAAAGAGCTGTTTTGAGGATTTTCCCGACAATTATTCGAATTTTTCTCACTTTTTATACCTTCCCTAGACCTCCACGAATAATTCAAGACCAAGATAACATAAATCCGTTCAGCCGTTCTCGAGTTTTAGCGAGACTAACGAACAGCAATTCATTTTTTTAAATATATAGATAGATTTCGTTAATTAATAACCAAATTTTTGCGAAAAAAATGTTAAAATTTATTCACATATCGTAGAAAAATTCGTGGAATAGCAATAATTCATATTCCTGCTTATATATTGAACTCAATAAACAAAATTTGCGGATATAATTGTAATTATTAAATATTTATGCCTACAACACTTAAGACAGTGACCATGAATGCGGTCCCACATTGTCAGTATTAGCCCAACTTCTGTTCCAACAGTTACAAACACGTAAAGTGGAGAAATTTTGTTCATATTTATTTTTTCACTTAGTTGGATTTATAGGTCACTGTGTTTTACAAAAATATTACAATCAGATGTTTATAATGAAACAACAATGTCATTGTCAAATTTATTTTATTTGAGTAAATCCACAAGAAATTCTACTTTTTCTATTGAGCAGTTCGTGCCACTCCTCTTGGTACATAAGCAATTATTAGCATCCAAACTTTTCACATTTTGTAATAGCAGGAAACGTGACCTAGCAATCAATAACACGAAGCTCATTGTAATAGAGATTACTTCAATTGCCTACAGAATGTAAGGCCTATAGTTTATACCTGAGCTTCATCTAATTGCGAACTAGTTTCTTATGTATGTTAATTTGCAGTTTGCAGAAGATTTGTATTTATAGTGAAAGTAACAATATATAGCAACGTTTGAGAAGACAAATGCATGTTTTGTTCTATGTCTTCATCGTTGCTTCCAAATACAGAAATAGAGAAAAACATGCGAACCAACAGTATGGCATTTACGTAATTTTGCACCATGATTAAAATTTCAGTGCGTAATGTTCGTATTTATGCAAATGATTGTAGAAAATTAACGTTCAATTACCATGTTGTTTGTATTCGCCGATGTGTGCAGTCGTGTACCGGTAATTTGGGCAGGCCGCTGGCTGAACATCAGTCAAGTAGGAAAAATGCGGTTTCCGCATCGCAAACTCCGCAACCGTCTTCATTGTTTGCAAACACAAACAAGTTTATATCTGATATGTGTTTTTTTTTACTGGAAAGCAGGGTTCACACAAGTTTAGGGAGTTTTAAAAAAGGAAGGAAGTGGCAAATTTAAAAAAGTATTTAAAAATGAGCCAATTTGATGTCGAGTCATCAAATCAGTCAGTAAATATGCAAACAATGTGTTAAAAAATTAAACTTAAATATTCACGTAGAGATTATTTGATAACAATACCGTACTGCCTGTGGTAGATCCCAATAAAAACTAAATAAATATTTCTCTCACACGGTTTCGAATTGAATGTACGAGTATATTCATCGTAAATTTTACTTGCATATGCGCGTATGCCGTTCACGAGTTGGTAAGTACCGATATGATCGCGTCATGGCGCTTTGAAGCGCAACGAGACGGAGCAACCACGTGTAGATGCTTATTACGTTGGTGGATAAACGAATGGAATTGCATTAAAACAATTCGGACATTGACCACAACAGAGCTAGACACTAACCAGAAAACATACGAGTATACTACCATTAAATATGCAAAAAATATAATTTGCACATTGTGGGTAATTATAGTCGTTTAAAATTGACAAACCGAATATTTTCATACCCTTAACAAAATCATGTTTCAATGTTAAAATTTCTTTATAATATTAATATTAATTTTTAACTGCAAATAGATTAATCTGGGGACATAAACTATGCACTTATCTCTACTAGAACGTATTTAATTCAGAAAATTAAACGAATGTGAGGTATTCAAATGATTACAACATTAAATTATGAAATTGTTCGTGTATCTATCAAGTAGACGTGACTGCCGAGAAAAATACAAAAGAAGAAGTCTAAACATGTTTTTAGTAAATTACATAAAACATCTCACACGCCTTTTTGACATCAGCGTAAATTCAGATACCTTCCATTTAATGCGCATTGTTTCACTCTCATCAAAACATATCACGCATCCATTGTGTACCTACGCTTTGTGCTTATATCATTCATACACAACAGTCGCGTATCACGAACAATTAAATAACTTCTTTTGTGTATCATTTCACTTTTCACTTGACGGATGTAGTAAACTTTAGTTTAACATTGAATCATCAACTGACTATCACATTTAATATCACTTGATATTAAAAAGAAAACTAAAATAATTTCTAGGTAATACTAATTAGTTTTGTGTCTTCAATTTTTTATGTGTAATAATGTGCACGGCATAGTTGTTGAAAATCATGCAAAGTTGAGTGGAAAATTAGACTTCATTTCGCATTTCAACGTTTCGCAAGTTTTTCAACGTAGCTTGAATGACGGATAGTTGATTGCTTCTTCTCGGGTGGTAATTGGAAAAGTCTATGTGGTACGTGACTGTTTTTATGAAAGAGAGACAAGTCGTATTACAAATCAATTCAAATTTCATTCATGCAATTTTGCGTTATTAGGTTTTATATTATCATATTATTCTTTGTAGTAAAATGAATATTGATTTAAAATCTTATAAACGTAGGAAGTAGAAAGTTAACTGTAACGCTCCGGTATAAGAATCATTATTATTATGATTATTCTCTTTTTTCTGATACTTGGAGTTTTTTATTTGTTATGGAGTACAGGGACGGTTTTTAAATAATAATTTATATACTTTAATTTTCTGCCAGGAATTTGACAGAGCAAATACTGTTTTCAACAAATCATAAAATAAATTTATGAATGATGAATAAAGCAAATTTAAAACAACAACAATACATGATATTTTGATTAGGTTTTACAGTTATGTACAGCAATTAAGCTCTAGCATTCGTTTCAATTTAACGGCTTTTTATCACTTCTTTTCCAATTCGCTAATTCGTAATAAATATACTATAACATTAACATTTCTCGGTTAATAAAAGCACATTCTTCTATTCTTAATCTTATATGTCCCAGGTAATAATTGCATCAAGCATCAGCTATTCCTCACGTTACTTATTTTCTTTTTGTTAAATACGTCTAACAAGAAAACATTAACACAATATTTTTATTATATCCATTAACAAAGAGATCAGAAATTTACACACACGAAATTACTATATTTTAATTAAATCGTTCTTATGTAAGGATTTTAGAAAACAAGACGAATATACAAAAAATTAAACGATACATTCATGAAATGCCTTTTCACTTTTCACTTGACGGATGTAGTAAACTTTAGTTTAACATTGAATCATCAACTGACTATCACATTTAATATCACTTGATATTAAAAAGAAAACTAAAATAATTTCTAGGTAATAGTAATTAGTTTTGTGTCTTCATTTTTTTATTTGTAACTAGCTGTTGCCCGCGACTTCGTTCCGGCAGTTTTTAATAAAAATGTAATTCGTTTTTACTCTCTTGTTCTAGACATATTCGTAGTAAGAGTCAATTATATCAATAAAATTAGCAATTTTAATTTAAAGAAATTAATTATATAAAGTTTTCTCAATAATGCATTTCAACGCGCCATCTCGAATTCAACTATTTAACTATAACTATGATTGAATCTCAATGTCAAATTTTATTCTATAGAAAAGAGCTGTTTTGAGGTCTTTCCCGGCAATTATTCGAATTTTTCTCACCCTTTAAATCTTCCCTAGACCTCCACGAATAATTCAAGACCAAGATAACATAAATCCGTTCAGCCGTTCTCGAGTTTTAGCGAGACTAACGAACAGCAATTCATTTTTATATATATAGATAATGTGCACGGCATAGTTGTTGAAAATCATGCAAAGTTGAGTGGAAAATTAGACTTCATTTCGCATTTCAACGTTTCGCAAGTTTTTCAACGTTGCTTGAATGACGGATAGTTG